TTCAAGGTTTTCATAATTTTAATTGTTTTAATGATAATTATTTCTATTTTTATTTTTATTAATTAAGTACTTATATTTATTTTTATTCAGAATTATTATTAATTTGTACTATATAATCATAAAAGATAGGGTTGACGATCTATTTTCACACGAGAACTATCATATAGCACCATATCCACACGGAAGTTTGATCTCGTTCTATATATCCATCAAATGAAAGTTTAAGATCTATATCCCCAAGTAATGATAGTTCGAAATCCACTTCCCTAGAAGTGTTGGTTTTCACGGTTTCTGACGGTTTGGGAGGTAAACCCGAGAGTTAAGCCATTAATCGCTGAAACAAAAAAAAAAAACCCGACTCAAACCCGACCCGTATGACAGCATTTATCTCCCCATTTTGGTCCGAAAATCCCCAAATCGAAAAAATTCAGTAAGAACCCTAAAATCGATTCTGGAAAATCGATTGTTGTAATCAGTAATTTCTGAAATCGAGGGTAAATATACTGTTATGGGTTCGTATTTGAGGGTTAATCGTAGTATATTTCTTCTGTTTCGTGGTCCAAAATTTTTTTTTTTTTTGTGATGAGTTTTGTTTTGTAGGCTTAATTTGGTGATGTCTAGAGCATCAAGAAATGTTTTAGGAGGTTCTAGTGGATCATCTTGTGGTCGCCCAATGTGAATTCCACTTTGTAGCTTGTCAATGATAATCACAACTTCAAACAGGTTGATGAGGCTCTGTTAGATGAGATTGAAAAGCTGCAATTGAAACATTCGAGGCTTGAGCAAGTGTTGGAAGAGTTAAAGGCAACTGAGAGCATGATTTTTGAGAAGCTTGAGAAGAAGATATTTGATAGGGTTGAAGATGTGTTGGTTAAAGCTAATAGAGATATGAAGAAGATGATATTGCTAGGGGTCGTCGGATGTTTGCTCGTGGTTGGGATCATGTCACTAGTTGGGGGAAGAATATGAAGAAGATGATGTTGGTAGGGGATTATTGTGGTCGTTTTTGTTGAAGAATATCACTTGTTGAGTCGTTTATGGTTGAATGTTGTATGTTTTAGTACTTATTTGTGGGATTATTGTGTCATCTTTAGTACTTTGTGTTCAATGAAATGAGTTACGTCAATTTGAATGTATTACTTTCTGTCTTCTCTTTTGCATCTAGTCAATGACATGAACGAGATTAAAGCCATAAAAATCCATTACAAAACAAAAAACAATCCGAAAACTTTCTAGAGTGGTCCAAAAGTGGTCCAAAAGTATCAAACAAAAGCATCAATCCGACAATTTTCTAGAGTTAATAAAAACTGACCCACCAAAAACATTAGAAAGCTGACAAGATAACATAAAAAGAATAGAAACAATCTAACCCATCTTATCCTTATGCTAACTAAGACCCATCTTCCACATTACTCATCCCATGTTATCCATGGGATGAGTTTACTCTGCACACATTTCTAAGGTTCACCCTGCGAAGCTTGAGAATCATGGGACTGGCCTTGAGAAGCAGACGGCTGACCCTGAGAAGAAGCAGAAAGCTGACCCTGAGAAGAAGCAAAAGTCTGATCTTGAGAAGCTTTCTTCTTCGCAGGAGATTTCTTATGTGGAGGAGCAGGATCTATCTTCCTTGTAGGAGCTTTCTTCTTTGCAGGAGATTTCTTCTTTGCAGGAGATGGCACTTTCTTCTTTGCAGAAGTTTTCTTCTCTGGAGGAGCAAGAGCTTTATTTTCTGGAGGAGCAGAAGCTTTATTCTTTGGAGGAGCATGAGCTTTCTTCTTTGCAGGAGATTGAGAGGGTTGTGAAGCCGCAGCCTGAGTAGTTGAAGCCGGAGGCCGAGCAGCTGAAGGTTGAACAGAAGGAGCAGCTGAACCTTGAACAGAAGGAGCAGCTTAAGGTTGAATGGAAGGAGCAGCTGAAGGCCGAGAAGTTGAATGTTGAACTGCAAGTTATGAAGCCGCAGCCTGAGTAGTTGAAGTCGGAGGCCGATCAGTTGAAGCTTCACTAGCTAAAGCTTGAATAGCTGGAGCGTTATCCTTATCCAACAAAAAACATGTAACTACATTAGACACCATAAAACACATACCCGAGAAACCTAAACCAAAAAAATACAAAACCTTATTGTGGAATCTAGAGTTGTGGTCAGCTTTGCCACATATTCCACAATGCATGATTCTTTTTTTGTTTGGTGGTTACTTCTTGGTTGGAGACTCATTCACGCCTTTCTTCCTCTTTTTGTCTGCATTGGTGAGCTTCTTTCTCCCTGGCTGTGGTGGTTCAGGAAGAATGTGGACATCCAGAGCATCAGTCGTAGGCCAAAATGCAGCTCTTCTAGTAGGTACAAGTCCATCCACATAATTCCTCCTCCACATAGCAGTGTGGAACCAATGACAAACAAAGTTTTCAGGGACGAGTTTTTTAGTCAAAATCACTCCATAAGCATGCTCACATGGAATACCACAAATCTGAAATTTTAAACAAGTGCAAGTCCTCTTCTCCAAGTTCACTCGGTAATTACAACCTCCTAGCCTTACTTCATAGTCTCCATTTGTGCTTCTAGTAACTATGCAAAGCTTAGCTTCCTTATACTCCTTCGCAAGGAACTTAGTGACATAAGGCGTGCATATCCCTGAAATGACAAAGACAAACACAAACCCAAACACACAATTAAAGCACTAACTAAACCAAATATAAGAAGTCCACAAATACCAAATATAAGAAGTCCACAGTTAAAGCACTAACGCCGATTATACTCAGCCTCACTGTAGCTCAAGGCCAGATTCCATATGTATTTCTTCATATCTTTTTTAGAAGCATGGTTCTTCTTCAGATTTCCATAGATGTGTCTGACACACATTCTATGCTGGATCTTTGGCAACTCCATTTGAACAACTGCGATCAGTCCCTGAAACACATGAACAATTCAATAATAGATTAGTCCCTACTATCATCACCCTATATTTTACTTATTAAATACACAAACACATTAAACATATTACCCTTTGACGATCATAAACCATAATAAATCCATCACCATCATTCAGCTCCAAGTCGTGCTTCAACTTCCTCACAAACCATACCCAATTCTCAGTGTTTTCAACTTGGACAACACTCCAAGCTATTGGGTATATGGAGTTATCTACATATCTCCCTAATGCCACCAATAACTGTCCCTTGATTTTGTGCTTCAAGAAGCAGCCATCAACTCCTATAAGTGGCCTACATGTATTTTTCCAAGTTTTTCTAAGGTTTTCAGAGCACACGTAGAACCTGTTAAAGTCGTCTTCACCTTTTTCATTTGTCAGAGTTTCAACCACCACATTAGAATCCTCATTTGAATGACGCAACTCAGCCGCATAGTCTCGGAGACGGGCAAACTGGCGATCATACTCACACTCGATCCACCTCAATGCCTTATTCCTAGCTGCTTGACATTGTGGCCTAGATACAGTAATTCCCCACTCCTCCCTAATTTTTTCTTCGATCTTCATAGGCATAGAGTATTTAGGTTCCTCTCTAACCTTATCAAGAAACAACCTAGCGATTTGTGGAACCTTTAACATTTTAACCTCTCCATTAGGTGTACATGAATGCTTGTCTTCAAAAATTCTAATCTTCCACAGAGCATCTTTCTGCCGAGTTGAAGCATAGACTCACCATTGACAGCCTCCACTTTCTTTATCACCACCAAGACACTTAAATGATATGTTAATCTTATCATACCTCGTTTGCTCCAAGTTACGTCCAGTACTCAGTGCATAGTCGAGCACATTCTCCTTGAAATCCACTCCATTGAAGAATGCCTGGTTGAGATACAATCTCCCATTACCACGGCTAAAGGATGTTCGTGGTCTCGGCCTCGTCGGAGCTGCCTCTCCCTCGTCATCGTCATCACTTTCTGGAATATCGTCGTGGCAAATTGAAAGCTCATCCACAAATTCCTCAACCAGTTTCTCGATTTCAGTTGCATCTCTGTCTACTTCTTCTTCATCGAAATCGTATTCGCCAAGCTCACGACGAATGACTAATGCCATCGAAATCAACTTCTACCTCTTCCTTCAGCTTTGTTTTCGAATTCGATTATTAGGGTTCTACGATTTAGGGATTTCTAATTTGGGGATTTTAGTGTTAGGGTTTTGAATCGAAGAAGCTAACTGGGTTTAATGGGTTTTTTCGGGTTATTATTTCTAATCGGGTCATAATCCGGGCAGTTATCAGTTTAATTATGTTTATACATGGTTTAGGTTTGTTCTGGAAACAGTAAACCAACTAAAACCGATCGCAATAGGGTTTGGGTTTTCGAAGTTTAAACTTCTGGGGAAGTAGATTTCGAACTATCATTACTTGGGGATATAGATCTTAAACTTTCATTTGATGGATATATAGAACGAGATCAAACTTCCGTGTGGATATGGTGTTATATGATAGTTCTCGTGTGGAAATAGATTGTCAACCCTAAAAATAATAAAAAATATGAAGTAAAAGTTGTGGGGCAGAATGTTGAATTTTTATTAAACAAAACTATTGTAAATATAAAAGTTGAATTGTGTGTTGAATAATTAAGTGGAAGAGAAAGAAAATGATGTGAAGTGTTAAAAGAGAAAAAAGAAGGTGTTGAAATGAAAATCTTATGATTTTTCTATGAATCACCATTTAGAGCTTGAAACCGAGTTTGGTACAGCCAAAAACCATCACTGATAATAGTAGTAGTCTGTTTCCCATTTGTGGGCTTAGTACTCTCTGTCTCTAAAAGAGTCTTTGACTTTTTAAAGGATAGGGCTTGTTGGCTTTTATCATGCTTTTCAAAGATATTTTAACAATATTTCGAGTGGTTCCCTGCGAAAGAGTTACTGTTATTGATATTTTGGTGTTTGATCTTCAGAATTTCTAGGGTTTGTTCATCAAATTCACTATTCACTGAAGTTTTTCTCTGTCAATTTTCGAGTTTGGTTCTGTTGTTCGGTCAAGTCGAAGTAAGTGAAGAAGGTTGCGTTTTGCAGAGTATGTCTTTGAGTATAGACAGAGCTTTGATGGCGATGTCACTGGAAGAAGAAGATATTCCATTCGATCTTCCAGATGACCCAGATTACAGTTCGTGTGAAAGAAACGAGTTTAGTGTCATTGGAAGGCTTCTTAACCCAGATTGTCAGAAGATGTCTGATCTGATTTTAGATATGCCAAGGAAATGGCAGCTCTATGATAGAGTTAGAGGTGTTGCTCTTAATCAAGAAAGGTTTCAGTTTATTTTCAAACATGAACTGGATCTTGAGGAGGTTTTGAGGAAAGGAGTTCAATCGTTTAATCTTTGGACCTTAGCTATTGAGCGTTGGATTGAGAGACCTCCATCTGATTATCTGCAGTTCATCGAGGTTTGGGTTCAGATTCGGAAGATTCCTGTCAATCATTATACTCTTAAAGCTATTACTGCTTTGGGAGAGTTTGCTGGGCTTGTAAAAGTGGTTGCTTGGGATCCGTTGAAGGCTCAGAACAGATCTTATGTGAGAGTGAAGGTGGTATTTGATGTTTCCAAGCCATTGCGGGTATCAAAGGTTGTCAACTTACCGTCTGGTGAGGTTGCGACGATTTTCTATTACTATGAAAACATCCAGAAAAGATGCTACACATGCCAAAGAATCACCCACGAGCAGGAAAGATGTCATCTCTTTATTGCTTCTAAACAAAGCAATGAAAAAGGGAAAAAGTTTAAGAGCTTTCCTTTGGTGAAGAGTATTCCAATAGTTCTGAAAGAGTTTGATCCCCTTTTTGGTGTTCTTGCCGAAAATCAAGTTGGGATGAATCCTCATACAGGAAGGCCGAGGATTGCTGCTGAGGTTTTGGAAGGTATGAGACAATATCTTTTGTTGGCTAATGGTCCGGAAAGAATTATCAGAGAGGAAAGAGTCAAAAACTCGGTTGCAGTGGCAGAAAAAGATCCGATTGCTCAGAAAATCTCTCTCAGGCTGGAATCTCCTCCTAGAGTCTCGACTGATATTGATAAAGGAAAAGGAAAATTTTTTGATTTTGAGCTTAATGATAGCCTTAACAGGCGGGAAGATCCAAATAAGAATGAGAATAAGCTCCTTTCGTCTGCTATTCAATCTGAGAGGACTATGAGTTTATTGCGTTGAATGCTTCTCTCCAATCTGATTTCGTGGATGCAAACTTTAGAGCTGGTTCTGAATTTTCTGAGATTGGTACAACGGTTTATAGGACTGGCTCTTCGGTAGCTGGTTCTTCCGGGACTAATTTCAAAAAATCAAATCAGAAATCTTACCAAAGAAGGAGGCCCCGTAAAAGTCAGAGGAAACTAAAAAGGATGAGTGAGGAGCAGGGGTCGGGTGAGATTGTTATGAAGAAAGGTGTTCAGTCAGGAGAAATTATAAAAAGGAAAGCTGCGGATGAGGCTGTTGGTTCATCAAAAATCGCTAAGCGTAACCAAAAAGAGATGGTCTCAAATGAGGGACCGTCCAATATTTAATGAGTCTTCTCAGCTGGAATTGCCAAGGCTTGGGACGGTCTCAAGATTTGGTGATTCCCAGACTCAAGGAAATGCGTAAAGAACATTTTCCTGAAGTCTTGTTTCTGATGGAGCTAGACTATGAATAAAAGAGATGTTTTTTGGTTGACTTACAATAATGGCTGGGTTATGATAGGCTTTTCACTGTTAATCCGATTGGTACTTGTGGAGGATTAGCTCTTTTTTGGAAGAACAGTGTTGAGCTGGATTTCAAGTTTGTAAATAAGAACTTAATCGACTTTCATGTACAGTTTGGTGGTGTTGGGTTCTTTGTTTTGTGTGTATATGGTGATCCATCCAAGCAATATTGAGCTGTTGTTTGGGAAAGAATAATAAGGATGGGGATAAATAGGAAAGAAGCTTGGTGTATGTTGGGTGATTTTAATGAGATATTGCATAATGGAGAGAAGCTTGGAGGTCCTCGAAGAAGTGAAGCTTCGTTTAGAGATTTTGCTGAGATGTTAAAAGGTTGTGCAATGATTGAATTTCCGTCATCAGGAAATGGTTTCACATGGGGAGGAATGAGAGGTCAATCATGGATTCAATGCAAACTTGATAGATGCTTTGGGAATAAAGCCTGGTTCAGCCAATTCCCTGTTTCCAATCAGACCTTCATGGATAAGAGAGGCTCAGATCATCGTCCGGTTATGGTAAGACTTTTGTCCAGCAAAGAAACCTATCAAAGAAATTTCAGATTTGACAAGAGGTTTCTGAACAAACCGGATGTTAAAGTGGCAATTGTGGAAGCATGGAACAGAAAACATATTTATTTTGAAGAACATGTTTCGGATAAAATTAGAGGTTGTCGAAAAGCTCTCAGCAAATGAAAAAAGAGGAACAACATGAATGCAAGGGATAAGATTTCTCAACTTCAAGTGGCTTTGGAAAGTGAACAATCGGTTATTTATCCTTGTCTTGTTCATGTGGATTTAAAAAAAAAAACAGTTGATGAAAGCTTATAGAGAAGAAGAAGATTTTTGGAGTCAAAGAAGAAGAGTGAAATGGCTTAAGAAGGGTGATCTCAATACCAAATTCTATCATGCTTCTGTGAAGTCTAATAGAGGAAAGAAAAGGTTAGAGAAATTGGTGGATGCTAGAGGAAATCAGCAGAAATCTGAAGCTGCTAAAGGAGAAGTTGCCTCAGCTTATTTTTCTAATCTTTTCAAATCTTCTTCTCCGGGTAACTTTGAAGATGTGTTCCATGACTTTCATCCGAGGGTAACCAAGGAGATGAATGAAAATCTGATAAAAGAAGTGACTAAGGAAGAAGTCAAAGAGGTTGTGTTCTCAATCAAACCGTCAAGTGCACCTGGGCCTGATGGTATGACTGGTCTTTTCTTTCAAAAGTATTGGGATGTCATAGGTGAACAAGTCACAATGGAGATTCAGGGATTCTTTTTGAATGGTTCATTCCCGACTGAATGGAATTATACGCATCTGTGCTTATTACCGAAGATTGTGAATCCGTCATTGCTGTCTGATCTTCAGCCTATAAGTCTTTGCTCGGTTCTTCTTAAGTTATTTTCAAGATTCTGGTTTGGCGTCTGCACCTTTGTTAGATGATTTGGTGTCTCCTAACCAATCTACTTTTGTGGCTAAGAGGTTGATTTCAGACAACATCCTAATTGCTCATGAGATGATCCATGGTCTTAGAACTCATCCGTCAATATCAAAAGAGTTCATGGCCATTAAATCTGACATGTCTAAAGCCTATGATAGAGTGGAGTGGAGCTTCTTAAGGGCTTTGTTATCAGCTCTTGGTTTTCATCAGAGATGGGTGGAGTGGGTCTTGTTTTGTGTGTCTTCGGTTACATTCTCTGTTTTGATCAACGACCAGCCACATGGGATGATTACTCCTGAGAGAGGCTTAAGACAGGGTGATCCTCTATCCCCTTTTCTCTTTGTTTTATGTACTGAAGGTCTCACTCATCTTCTCAATAGAGCTGAAAAGAATGGTCTTATTCAAGGGATTCAGTTTTCTCTTTTCAGGTCCAGCTATTCATCACTTACTCTTTGCTGATGATAGTCTCTTTTTGTGTAAAGCTGATGAAGCACAGTGTGGAGCTCTAAATGATATTCTGAAGTTGTATGGAGATGCTACTGGTCAAACAATTAATTTGCTTAAGTCGTCCATTACATTTGGTTCGAATGTGGAAGAGGAAAAGAAAATCAGAATTAAAGAGATGACTGGGATCCTTAATGAAGGTGGTGCTGGAACATATCTTGGTTTGCCAGAATGTTTCAGTGGTTCAAAGACTGATATGCTTTGTTATATCTATGATCGGTTAAAGTCTAGATTATCAGGTTGGTTTGCTAGGACTTTATCTCAAGGTGGCAAAGAGATCCTTCTCAAGGCAGTAGCAATGGCCATGTCGGTTTACGCTATGTCTTGTTTCAAACTTACTCAAGCCATGTGTGAAAAATTGACAAATGCTATGGCTGATTTTTGGTGGGATGCTCTAGAACATAAAAGAAAGATTCATTGGCTAAGTTGGGAAAAGATGTGCTTAACAAAAGATCAAGGAGGACTGGGATTTAAAGATATTCAATGCTTCAATCAAGCGTTGTTAGCAAAACAAGCTTGGAGGATCCTTCACTTTCCCAACAGTATTTTTGCAAGAGTTTTCAAAAGTCGGTATTTTGATGAAGATGTCTTTCTTAAAGCAGAAGTGGGTTCTCGACCTTCATATGCTTGGAGAAGCATTAACCATGGAAGAGATTTGTTGTCCATTGGTCTTAAAAAGATGGTCGGTAATGGAAAGTCTATAAGTGTGTGGTTCGACCCTTGGCTCTGCGATGAGAATATGAGAGCTCCTTTCATCAAAAACTATTTCGTTGATCTGAATTTGATGGTGAAAGATTTGATAGATGTGCCGAGCAGAAGATGGAATAAAGAAGTCCTTCAGGATCTGTTCTATCCTGCAGATGTGAGCCTGATTTGTGCTAATAATCCGGTTGTTTCTGTTGATGATTATTGGTGCTGGTTGCATAATAAAAATGGAGAATATTCAGTGAGATCTGGATATTGGCTTGCTTCTCGGCAAAAAATGGCTGATCTTATCAGAGAGGCTGAGATGAAACCTTCTCTAAATGATCTCAAGAAACTGGTATGGACTCTTCAAACTTTTCCTAAAATTAAATCTTTTCTGTGGAGAGCTTTGAGTGCAGCATTACCGGTAGTGGACTTATTGGCTAGGAGAGGTATGAAAATTGATTCTCGTTGTCAGTTCTGTGGATTAGAAGGGGAATCAATCAATCACTTGTTGTTCACGTGTTCTATTGCTAGACAAGTTTGGGCTCTCTCGAATGTTCCTTGTCCTTCAGATGGTTTTAGTCAAGCTTCGGTGCACTCTAATCTTCATTATCTTATCTTTATGAGTAACAATGCAGCCATTGAGATTCAAAAACTTTTCCCCTGGATTCTATGGTGGAAAAACAGGAATAATTTTTTTATTGAAGGAAAATTATTCTTCGCTACAGAGTTGATTGAGAAATTCGATCTGAAGCTGATCTTTAATTTGTGGCTCAAGAAGTTGAAATGGAAACTGAAGTTGGGAAGAAATTGGAGAAGTCTAAAACGAAGATCATTTGGAAACGACCTCCACCTCTTTGGTTTAAATGTAATATTGGAGCTTCTTGGTCCAAAGAAAAGATGATATGTGGAGGTGCTTGGGTATTAAGAGATATGAGAGGAAATGTTTTGCTTCATAGTCGAAGAGCTTTCCCAGATTCAAAATCATATGACGAAGCTAAACTAATGGTGTTTTTGTGGGCAATAGAGAGTATGACCAGCCACAAAGTAAATCACATAATTTTTGGTTTAGAAGCGCATGAATTAGTTGGAGCAGTACAAAGGCCTCATGCTTGGCCCTCTTATTTATATCAAGCTTCTGAAATTCTCTTTCATTGAGCTGGGATTAAAGATTGGAGAGTGGAAGTGGAAAGAAGATCTTCAAATAGAGGGGCCTCTCTCATTGCTCAAAGTGTAACGAATGATTTTCGTTTTCAGTCTTACGTAGCCATTGGTTATCCTATATGGTTATGTGAACTGTTTGAAAGTGAGAGAAGCTTGCCCTCTGTCTGCAGTGTTTGATGCATAGCTAATATTTGTGTTGTTAGGCTCTTTATTGGAAGGTTTGGTATTAAAATTTTTTGTTATGCGTTCCTTGTTTGGCTCTGTGGAGTCTTAATGTTTTTAGGTGCAGCTTAGTTAACTTTTGTATAGGCTGACCTCATCTTTTGGCTCATTGTAATGTCTCTGCCCTATATGTGTTAGGTGCAGTCGGTGATCTCTCGTTGTAGAGATTTGTAATTGACCAATATATATATTCAATCCATAGATGATAAAAAAAAAAGTACAGCCTAAAACCACATTCGATATTATAGATAAATTCGACTCACCTGAGCTCGGTTTAGCGAGAATCGATTTGAATTAAAAAAAAAAACCCAAACTTTTTTTTTTAAACACTGATTGCATTAAGTAAATGAAAAGGAAACAAACGATTGTACGGTGATGCCAGATGCATCTTACCAAAGAGACCCAAAACCCCAAAAAACAAGAGTGGAAGGGCCGTTAGAAGGCTAGAGAATAATCTCGGCATAACAAAATAAAGACATGAAAGTCTAAATGGACTCAAAAAGAATCATCTGCTGTAGCCAGGCAGGACCTCCCCGAGCCACATAGGAGGAAAGTCTCTGGTCCCTGGTGACGCTAGTTGCAATTGCAGCAGCCACTTGATAACACGGAGGAGCAATGTAATTTAAGCTCCAGAAATCGAAGAAATTCAAAAGCTCACCAATGCTCTGTAGAATGGCGTGAGTCGAGGGGAAGTCATGTGGGTGGAGAAGAGCTTCCCTGGCCAGGGTGAAAGAAGACTCAAAGATCACCATCTTCTGTTTCATATTTTTTCATAGATTCCACTGCCCATAATAGCGCCAAGAGTCCCGCCTCAACAGGAGATGCAACCAACGAAAAGGATCGTCGACTGTGGAACAAGACTTCACCCCTATCGTTACGGGTTAACCAGGAAGCACCACTCATTAGACCAGCTAACCTCCAAGAGTTCCCAATATTGCATTTGATCACAGGAGCTATCGGTTTGGTCCATTTGATTCCTTGTGCGGCGCTTGGAGGAGGAAGAGCGACAATCTCCTCAATTACTCCATGTAACTTCAACCAGATACTTGCTTCCTCAGCTGCTTGGGTATATATAGATGCTGGGCTCAATTGTGTTTTTTCAAACACCAAACCGTTCCTAGCCTTCCATAGATGCCATAGAATCCAAGGGAAAGATAGTCTTATGTGCTTAGGTAAGAATTGCTTTCTGCTGCAGTGCACAAGGTGGTGCAGGTTAAGGAATACTGAAGTTGCTGAGAAACCTGCTAAGGGTAGAGGTATTGACGACAATCTCCATACCTCCCGTGCTACAGGGCAAAGGAATAACACATGACAGATGCTTTCTTGACCAGAATTGCAAGCTTTGCAGGTAGTGTCGATGGAAATACCCCGAGTAAGTAAACGTTCGGAAACAGCCAGAGCTCCACTCAATGCCTTCCAGAGAAAGTGTCTAACCTTTGCCATAGTTTTGATTTTCCACAAACTCTTCCAGAGCTGCTTTTCTACCGGCGGCAAGGGATTACTTGGCATAAGAGAGTCACGAATTTTTTCAAGGAGCTTATAACCACTTTGCGACGAGTAGACCCCATCTTTGGTAAATCCCCACACTAGTTTATCGGATTCAGCACCACCCGGTTTAATCTCCAGAACACGCACCACATCTGCTTCCGAGAAGGTTTGTCTAACCAGTTCCACATTCCATAAGCCTGTCCTGTCATCAATAAGATCGGATACATGGAGGGCAAGGTTCACTACAAAGTCAGGATTATACTCAGGAGGACGAGGGAGGTCCCCTAAAATCCAATTCTCAGCCCATACATGTGTAGACCGACTATTACCGATGGCCTTGATTAAACCTTGTTTTAGTAGGTCACGCCCATGAAGGATGCTCCTCCAAGCATACGAAGGTCTAGAACCCACAGTACTCTCCAGAAAAGAAGAACGCCTGCAGTATCTATGCTTCAAAATCCGAGCCAAAAGGGATTCAGGACGACTCCAAATCCTCCACGCCTGTTTTCCGAGCAAGGCCTGATTAAAATTGGCAATATCATGGAAACCCAAACCTCCATCCTCTTTTTTCTTGCATAGTTTGGACCAGGCGATCCAGGATATTTTCCGGTGCTCAGAATTGTTACTCCACCAAAACTCCGTTAAGACACTCGTAATTTTGTCACACAGCCCTTTTGGCAATTTAAAGCAATGCATCGCGAAAACTGGTAGCGCTAGACCCACCGATTTTATTAGAATCTCTTTGCCACCTGAGGAAAGAGCTTTTGCGAACCATCCTTTGACTCGCGATTGCACTTTCTCCTGTATGAAATTTAGGAGCTTCCGTTTCGACCCACTAAAGCATTCCGGTAACCCCAGGTAAGACCCTTCTCCACCTTCCTGCTCAATAGCCAATACCCTCTTCACAACAAGCTTTACCTCATCAGTGACTTTGGAGCCGAAGATGATAGATGACTTTGCTGGATTAATAACTTGACCCGAAGCTTCGCCATACACCCGAAGACATTGATTAATCTCGGTAGCCTCTTCAATTGAAGCTCGGCACATAAGAAGACTATCATCGGCGAATAATAGATGATGAACTGAGGGAGCATTCTTCCCAAGGGAGATACCATGGAGCCGACCCATAGCTTCACTTTGATTTAAATGGTTCACCAAAACCTCCGCACAAAGAATGAAAAGAAAGGGGGATAAAGGATCTCCCTGACGAATCCCTCTCTCCGGTTTGATGAAACCATGGGGTCTACCATTTAAGAGCACCGAGTAGCTTACCGAACTAACACAGGCCATCATCCATCTAGTCCAAATACGATTAAAACCCAATTTTTCCAGTAGAGTTTCCAGAAACCACCATTCCACACGATCGTAGGCTTTTGACATATCGGTTTTGATCGCCATATACTCTGTCGCCACTGCCTGATTGGTGCAGAGACCGTGAATCATTTCGTGCGCGATGATGATGTTGTCGGAGATCAACCGGCCTGATACAAAGGCACCCTGAGTATCCGATATGATCTTCGGTAAAATTTGCTTGAGGCGCCGACAAAGTATCTTCGAAATAATTTTGTATTGGACCGAACACAGACTGATGGGCCTTAGGTCCTTCATAACACAAGGGTTAGAAACTTTAGGTAAAAGGCTGAGCTGTGTATGGTTCCAACCCGGAGGAATGATGGAAGTTTGGAAAAAGTTGTGAACCTCTTTGGACACTGCAGGCCCAACAATGTGCCAAAACTTCTGATAGAAAAGCCCAGTGAGCCCATCTTCTCCAGGCGCACTACTGCTTTTAATCGAGAAGACTGCAGATTTGATCTCATCATCTGAGAAAGGAGCTGTGAGGATCTCATTCATCTCTGTCGATACCCTGCTTGTTAACCCAACGAAAAGAGTCTCCATGTCGAAGGGATTCGAGCTCATAAACAGGTCCTTAAAGTACTCAACCGCCACATTACCTTTAGAGCCCTCAGTGAATTGCTCAATCACATTTTCGTATTTGAGCATTATAATCTGGTTGCGGAGCTTCTTTCCTTTAACACTGTTGTGGAAATATGTGGTGTTGCAGTCCCCAGCCTTAAGCCATTGTTCTTTGCTCCTCTGTTTCCAAAAGACTTCCTCCTCGTGATATGCATTTGCTAAGTCACGCTTGAGGTTAAACATCCTGGTTTGATTAGGGGAAGTTTTTGAGACCTCTATCTCTAGACTTCTTTCTAATCTCTGGATACGATCCAAGGAATTTAAACCCGAGTTCTTTTTCCACCTAGCCAGTCCACGACGACAGTTACTAATACGATCCAACAAGGGAGTGTTGGTGTTCCCAGGCAAATCTCTCCATGCTTCCTTGACAACATTCTCAATGTCTGCTTTCCCAATCATACGCTTGTCAAAGAAGAATCTGCCCCTGTTTGGATCGTCACTCTCTAGCGCAAAATGGATTCTTAAAGGACGATGATCCGAAGACCTCATATCTAAGTACTCAACTTGTGAGCGAGGGAATAAACGGAACCATTCATGGTTCCCAAAGCATCTGTCGAGTCGGCATTGGACCCAGATTTGGTCTCTCCAGCCCGCCCAAGAGAAAGTATTACCAGAGCTTCGCATTTCCTGAATTTTGCAATTCTCAGCCATAGTCCGAAAACCCCAGAAAGTAGATTCCGCCCGTATTGGGCCTCCCAACTTCTCGGAGTTATTCATCAACTCATTGAAGTCACCAACTAGCACCCACGCCTCATCACGATTCATCCCAATAGATGAAAGCTGATCCCAGACCACGTGTCTATTAGCTCGCACCGGATCGCCGTACACACACATTAAAAAGAAATTGAGAGAACCCATCTTGACCCTCAGATCGATGACCCTCTTATCCGACGACAAAACCACCACCTGAAAACTCTTCTTCCACATTACCACCAAGTCTCCACTTAATCCAACAGGCTCGACTGTAATCAACTCATCATAACCCAAACTGATTTTCAAATTCGAAATGTACCCAAACTTTTGCTTAGTCTCCATGAGAAACAACAAAATCGGGGAAGAACTTTTTGCGAATTCCCCGTAAGCGACGAACTGTCTCGGTGTTTCCCGCCCCTCGACAGTTCCAACTCAATATGCTCATTGGGATTGCAGCGGCTTCAAATCGGAAGCCACCGTTTCGTTGTTGGTTTTTGGGGTTTTGTTAATCGGAACTGTAAGTTCTGCAGCAGATTTGCGTTTAGCGGAGCCATCAGGAGGAGGAGCTATTTCCACCCGAACTTCATCGTTTCCAGAGTCCTTAATGTTTGTTCTGGGGTGTCTCTTCCATGAGGGTGGTCGCTTTCTACTCTTCTTACCCGATTTAAGGTTCCCGGTGTATGAGGTACCACATGAGGATCCCATACTAAAACCCGTTGAAACCATATCAGGGAGAGGAACAGATAAATTGCATGACGAAACCACTTCACCATCGAGGCTGTTTGAACCGGCTTGAGTCGGCGCCGAAAGAGATGGCTTGGTATGAGCTCTTTTTGGTTGTTCCTGAGTCTCATTGTAACCAAAAACGTGCCCCTTGTTCTTGTTCAGATCGTGCGATATTTTTGTTTGGTGCGCTGATGACTCTGAGGCCGAGTCCTCTATCGCTTGTCTAACTCTGCCTATCCTCGCTCTCCTTTCAGTCTCATTGGCATGGGATATATATTGCATCGCCATAACCTGATCTTGTTTGGATAGTTCCGGAAACAGGGGAGGAAACCCCGGAGGACCTGCTAACAACAGCTGAGAGGGCCCAGATGTAATGTTACCCTTAGTCGGAGACTTCGCCGTAGAAGGAACCTGCTGGGAAGGGCCTGCAGTGTTAACATCCGTCCGTTGAAGATCTGCCCCTTTCCTCTGCATGGAAGCTTTCCCATATCCTGATGGCTTCCGTACCATCGGGCACATAGCTTTTTCATGAGTGAGCCGGAAACAGTGAAAACACTTCTTATGAAGTTTCTCGTAATCGTATTCTATGAGGACAGTTTCTCCTGTGGGCAGAGATAGATTCCTCGCTTCGCGGGCAGGTTTCGAGGCATCAAAAGTGACTCTGGCACGAACATACTCTGTCTTCTGAGATACTTTGGGATCGTAAGCAATCTCCTCAACATGCCCAATGGCTTTAGCCAATTCGAACATTGTCTCCACAGTATAATAGTTGATAGGAATGTGTTTAATACGGATCCAAACCTCAAAGGAGGAAAGAAAGTCCGGTGGTGGATTGGGGGTCCATCTCTCCAGCACCATCGTCCAATGGTTATAGGACCAGGGCCTATCCTTTAGAACCGTGAGTAGATCTTCCTCTTTTTGGAAAACAAACTGGAATCTATCTCGGGATAGAGCAATTCCCCTTACACGGTCAAAAACCCGCCAGGCTCGCGGCATATACTCAATCATCCTCGCCATTGGTTGACAATCCGGGTTGAGAAGCCGGCCCATGAGGCTAGTAGCGTTCTCATCAAAAACTTTGAACTTGGGATTGTCCGGAAGCACAATTGGGTCTTCATCATCCAGTGATAAGCCACCGATGGCACGGTGAAGATTTTCAGCCATCGATATGGGAGTTGCACCGCGCGGAAGAGGACACCGGAGACGTAAAGTGTTTAACCTAGGAAGAATGTCAATCAACACCACATTAAATTTGCCCTTGAGGAGGCAATATTCGGAGCAAATTTTAAGGGAAATCATATTGGAGAGGAAGCTTGATTGACAAGATTGGGAAGAAAAGGAAAGGATTGAGTAAGGAAAAGGAAACCCGGGAACAACGAAAGGAAGGGGGATATGTAGTTACTAAAAAACCGTTGCAATTAAGCCGGGAATTGTGCTCCACTCAACAACCGAGAGAGAGAAAGTAAGCCAAGGAACTTAAAGCAAACCCTCTAGACTAACTAGAGAGGCCTGAGCGAAAAAAGGGAGTATCCTACGCTTTCCCCCAAACTTTTTTAAACTGGAGAATCTTCGGTCTGTAATTGATTTCGCATGGTAATGTGAAGCCACGGGGGCATCATTGTGAATACGAGCTGACGTCGATAATTTCTTTTTAACTAATTTTATTGTTACTAGATTAGCCGAACCCTGCAAGAACAATCAAGATAACAGATCAAACGAGGGTGTGGTAAACATCCTGGCGCAAGTGCAAGATTAAAAGAATAAGATACAGAAGACTTATAAAGGTGAATCAATGGTCGATCGCAGTGATCAGGAGTACTAACCTGAGTAGGCTGCGTCCAGATAGTTATCCGTCCATGAAAATTAGCAATGAGTAACGCACGAGGACAAGAAGTAGGAGACCATTCGATAAATTGGACAGAATCACGAGGAGAATCTACAAGAACAAAATTGCATCATAATCATCTAAAACAAAAACTCTGGTATCTAGAGCAACAAAGTTCACTGAAAAAAAAAAGAAAAGCAATATCAAAATACCTGCCACAACATTAAACACTGCACACTCAGTTGGGCGCTCCGGTATCAAAATATGAATCGGGATCCAAAAAGGTGGATTTGCCTTGGAGCTGCAAGAGATGAGAAAAAAAGATGAAAATGAGAAATAAAGAGATACAAAAATTAACAAAACTCAAACCTTGGAATCCTGGCACAGGTTCGGAAGCGCAAGCTATAGCATTCAATTTGCCACACCACGCAACGGCACTGACAAAAACAAGGGAATCGGTGATTTCGCCGGAAAATTTGGAAAAAAAAGGGTCGATCGGAGAAAGAGCAAAGTTGAAAACCTGAAGTTACGGCACAATTCAGGGACGCTCATCTTATGAAGCAAATTGGAATTGGGCTGTTTAAGCTTGACGCAGAAAACAGTGGCCGGACTCACAAGATCAACCTCCATTTGATGATCCTCTTTCTCTATGTTCTCTGTTGATTTCTCTAAAGATTTCTCCTCGACGACAATTGGATCCCTAGATTCAGACTCCTCCAGCTGCTGCTGCTGCTGCTCTACTTCTTCTTCTTCTCCTTCCTCCGTAGCAGGAGCCTCGATGTTTCCTCCACCGCTATTACCCAGAGAAACTTCCGGCTGTTGCTGATTCATGTCAGCGAGAAAGGAACAAAACCCTAATCTTTATAAAAATCAAAGAGTGACCAAAAATTCACGATTGAAGGCGACAAAAAGCACTGTGCGTAGAGAGAGAGAGAAAGGGTTAGTGGGGGACTTTAGTGCGGGGAAAATTCCAAAAACCAAAACCAAAATCAAAATCGAAAAATGCGATTTTTTTTTTTGGTTTGTTTAGGGTTTGTGCCACAGTCGTCGCCGGGACGAAGAAAAACAAAACATTCTGATCAGAACACCTTGGTGACTTTCTCTATATTATTACTTTTTTGCTTCGTTTTCTTACCATCTTCCTTTTTTTTTTTAATTTCTTTATCAAGTTTAAAGACTTGTGGTTTGAACATTACAAAATTTAATTTTATCCATAAAAAAATCAACCATAAAAAAGTGAAAAAACAACTATAATTATTAGGACAGACTCTGCGCGTATTCGCAGACTTTATTTTAATTTATATTTTAAATAATATATTTTTAAAATTTATATTGAATTTTATGTTTATTATCAATATTTTTGCATTTAAAATATTTTTACTTTTTTTTATTTTTTCTTGATGATATATTATTTGTAACCTCTTCTACACCACTTATGTCAAATAGTCTAATTTTCTCTTAAAATAATAAGAGACTAAAAAATCTAGTTTTTTTAATTTTTGCATGAAAACGTAATAGTTCACTTAAAAATATACGTTGAATATCATAGAGAAATATTTAATTTTTCTTCGATCTTCATATTCTTATTATTCTTGTAAATCTTACTAATATAATACTTATTAACTTTCTTAATTTATCATTTTGAAATTTTTTGGTTATATATATTTTATTAATTCCATTTTTTTGATTTTTAAAAAATTGTATGACATTTTCATGTGGACACCTTTTTATTATTATTTTTTTTAATAATTTTTATCTTTTTAATTGTTTATTAAATATTCTTTGTGTTTTATCATTTTATTAGTTGGAGTTTTATATAAAATTATTTGAAACTTTTTAACTTATTCTGTTTCATAATTTGTTTTCATTTACAATAAAATTTAATTATATTTTTAGTTTGAAATTAAAATTTAAAACACTTGAAAAAAAAGATAGAATGCATTTAAAATTTTTTGTATTATATAATATTTATAAATTTTAATATATTTAAATTAAATTTAAATATCATTTTAATATAAATACATATAAGTATTTATTTTTGTTTTTTAATGTATTTACTTTAAATTTAATTAGTTTTTTATTATTAATATTATAAATGGATATGTGTCAATCTCTCTAATGCTGATGTGTCATTCAACTGGAGAGAGTTGAGCAAATTTTATATATAAGATTATTTTTTTTTTTTCTGGCAACTTCGAGAGCAATAAGTTGACAAAAAAAAAAAAAAAAAGCCTTGAGCGCAAGCAAAAACTTGGCGAGAGCGTGAGAAAGTAGAGAGAATTAGAAACTGAGAAAAACGAAGGAGAAGAAAAGGATTTGATTACTTAGAGAGTGTGATTACATACATCATCGCTGCGATTTCAAAACTAGAATCTGATTTTTAAGGGTGAATTTGAGTAGACAATGGAGGAAATAAGATCGGCGATGGAGCAGCAAATGGATCTCATGGCGGATCTGGTCCAGAAACTCTCCGGAGAGCTCCGAACCGGATTACAACCTGCCTACGAGAATTTCTTGGGATTTTTCCACGCGATTGATTGGAAGGTAATGAGTATATGTTTTTTCCTTGTGAATTTTCTAGTTTAGCTTTCGCGAAAAAGGAGAAGAATCCTTCGTTATCAATCGAATTTCTCGCCTACCCTGGATTATAGTCATTGATTAAAAACGACAAATCTTCCATTCTCGGTGCTTTAGGGTTTATATTTCAAATATTAACTCTCCGCATTGGGTTTTTCTCAATGGGTTTCTTTAGTTAACATACTTGGATTGATTGTTTTGCAGGAACCTTGGATTATGGGATTAATGGCGTTTCATGCTCTGTTGCTAATGGTTACTCTTCTTTCTAGAAGGCATCTTAACTTCCATATGTTCTTGTTCTTAATGGCATGTAAGTTTCTCTTTGAAACTGTTCTCTAGTCTCTTTTAGACGCTTCTCTGTGTTAGGCTTTGTTGTCAAAATAATCTACTCGACATTCTTAGCAACGTATCTCTTGGAATTACATTGATTTTTTTCATCTTCTTCATCGCTTCGGTGTTGCAAGTTACAAGTCTGCTATGTTACTATAGTTTAGAGTCTTGAGTTTTTTTATTTCATCTCTTTTCCTCCCTTTTGTTATCAGTGTTCTTACTTGATCCAATGATCTCACTAGGCTAGGTTGCACTATTCATATTGAATCAAGGATTGGGACCTAGTTTCAATACTTGTACCATGCAGTTTTTGATAATTTCTTCCTTCAGAATAGCTTATGAATCAACAACCTAGGCTTTTTTTTTTGTTGAGTACAAATATATATTTGGATATCTCTAGATCCATTGTTAGAGAGTGCCACACCATGCATATGGAGAAATAATTTGCTTGGGTCTCTGTCTCTATGAGTTAGTTAGTATGCTAGAAAAGTCTCGGAGACAATGGTTGGTGAAATGGATAATATGATATTCACACTTGTTCTATACAATTTGAATTATGAAGTTAATGACTGGCATCTCCATTTACTGTTTCCTCTTCGTGATTGATAATGATTATGTGACCAAAAACAATTCTGCAGTGGCTGGGGTATACTTTGCAGAGACTCTCAACAGGCTCTTGAGAAAAAACTGGAAGCGCTTCTCAACTCAAAACTACTTTGACCCGCATGGAGTCTTCCTCTCTGTTCTCTGGTCAGGACCACTTCTGGTCATTGCAATGATAATCCTGGTAATGTGTTCAACAATGCCCCTCTTTTTCTCTCTTCCCCTTTCTTCCCTGCTTATAATGAAACAGATTTTGTTAGTAGTGCATCAAAATTTTCTTGACCAAACAGACCATTGTAACTAAAATTTCGAGGATCTGTTTGCATGTTTGAGTTAAGAACAATGATATGTGGTGGTTTTAAGCATGTTTCTAATCGCATTGAAAATTTGATGGAGTGTTGTGTTTTTCTGACAGATAAACACACTGTTTTCGCTTTGCTACTTAATCGTAAAATGGAAAAGAGCAGAGCTCAGGCATCGTGCAAGGCTTGCTCGTACCAAGCAGGAATAGATCCCAACTCTCTCTCTCTTAGCACATCCTTTCTTACATTTATGTATACTCACTTTGCAGCAACAAACCGTTTTGTTCTCTAATGTAATTCGCCGAATCGATTTGAACCGAACCAAACCGACCAAACCAAGCCAATTACTTCTATTTCGGTTTGTTTTGGTAGAGTTTTGAATCCCCGAACTTAATTTTCCCTAAATCGAAAGAACACTTGCATTATTTAAATCGAAATTTTAGAAATTGATTGGTTCTGTAATTTTTTAATGTCGGTTTTTTTTTTTGAAAGGTGTTGAAAAATCTCGAATTGAACCGAAATTATGCTAAAGAAACCTCAACCGTACGATTAAGGGATAAATTAAGAATGGTTTTGTGAATTTGAAATAGTGTTAGAGATTACACAATTAGCCGTTACGAGTTAATAGAAGTCGTCGTCGACTCGGCACTCTTCAACGGACTCCTTCGTTTTCAAAAATCAAAACTCGTTCAAATCAATCACGAAGAGATAGAGAGAGAGAATCACGAGATTTGAAGACGACTCTCTTAATCTTCTTTCTTCTCTGTGTTTTCGAAATCCGTAACTCGATAATATCTTCCTCTTTGGTTCTTAGTCTCATCCATGGAAGTGAAGGAAGAGAAACCGATGGAAGAGCAACGAGTGCGGGAGAAGACGATCCCTGTGTTCACAGTGCTGAAAAACGGTGCGATTCTCAAGAACATCTTCGTCGTCAACAGTCGCGATTTCTCATCGCCGGAGAGAAACAGTAACGCTGTTCGCGACGATGGTGACGAGGTAGAGGAGATTCTGCTCGTCGGTCGGCATCCAGACTGCGATATTCTGCTAACGCACCCTAGCATTAGCAGATACCACTTGCAAATCCGCACTGTTCCTTCTCTCCAGAAGCTCTTCGTCACGGATCTGTCCTCTGGTACGAAATCATCTCTTACTCCATTTCGATTTCTAGGGATTTCTCGACGAAATTTATTTGGTCATCCACGATTAGATTGTTCTCATCGATTTCATGTGAAGTTTTCGTTCAATTGGATTGTCGGTGTATACGTTTCTGGTTGTTTGATTTGGAGTTTCCTTCGATTTAGTACATGGGACTTGGGTTACGGATCAGAAAGTCGAGCCAGATGCTTGTATCGAGGTCAAGGAAGGCGATATTATTAGAATCGGTGGCTCAACAAGGATCTATAGGCTGCATTGGATTCCCCTAAGCCGTGCGTATGATATCGACAATCCATTTGTTTCACCACTCGATGCATCTACAGTGATGGAGCAAGACGAAGAGAATAGAATGCTTGAAGCAGAAAATCCAGAGGTTGCGCACCAGGTTAGACATTTGTTAGTTTATCCGATTGCTTAGTTCTATAGTTATCTGATGGTGTATTTGCTTAGCCTGAGACTGTATCTACCTTCACTGCAGTCACTAGAGAAGACTGAATTGGTTGATGACGGATATCTACATCTGGATGTGACGTCTGAAGGAAGTGGATCATCAGTCCCTAGTGAGGATGAGGATACATATATTACGACTAGGGAGATTTTGTTGCCGCTTGCATCTCCAAGAGATTCTGTCAATACACAAAAGCTACAACTGATTGAAGATTTGCAGGATTCATCAAAGTGGGACTTGGATGTTATAGAAGCTGCAGCAGAAATGCCAACTAACAACTGTGCCCCAAGTAAGCAGCAGAGTTGTGGCTCCATGGAGGTTGTTGGCTGTTCTGAACCTGAAGTTGTTGCAGAGGCTGATGAATGGGATGTAAGAGGCGATCTGCTTCTGAATGTGATGTCAGAGAGGATGGTGTCATCAGTCTTTAATGAGGATGAGGATCCATATCTAGCTGCAAAGGAGACGTCATTGCTTCCACTTCCAAGTGATTCCATTGAGAAAGCAAGACTAATTCTCACAGAAGATGTCCAGGCTTCCCTAGAGAAGGCTGTAAATACTATAGAAGCCAAAACAGAAAATCCAAGTAGCGGCTGCTCTCCAGTTAAGGGACAGATTGATGGCTGCCTTGAAGCCTCGGGTTGTACTGCATTTGAATTGGCTGCAGAGGTTGCGATTCTGAGCCTTTGTCAAGATGTCACTGGAGAAACTGAGTTTGTCAGAAAGCAAGTAACGGAAGCATCTGGCGAATCAAAGAAGGCTGACATTTGGAGTAACGTAGACAATGGTGAAGTTATTGCAGTTTCTCCCAATTCCTCTCCTCAAGCCGAGGGACTGTTAGAAACTGTAACTGAAGATGCCCGAGGTGACTTAGGTTCTGAATTCCGAAGTGAAGTGTCCATAGAGACTGATAGTGAGAACCTACATCAAAAACTCAATGAAGTGAATCCTGCAGGAGACCAGGATACAAAACCAGGAATGAACAAAGAGATTGAACCAATATTTGATGAAGGGAGCAGCTTGTCCCATTCTGAGGACCTTGAGCAGAGTAGTACACAAAATTTATTGTCATTAGCAAATCTGAAACCCGAAAAAGAGACGTCAGTTGGCTCTGATAGATTTGGAGACCTTTACAACTTAAGAGAAATAGGGGGCGACGAAAATACTGATAAAGAAGTTCCATTTCCTTCAACCTTGGCTGCAGAAACATTTGAGGATATAAAACCGATTGACGAACTGCTTTCTACTGAGAGTCAAGAAAACCAGGCCCAGCAACCACATGCTGTTAGAGATGCTGCACTCCCTGAGATGGATAGCTCTGAGATGGAAAGAGGTGCGTCTATTCCATTACTTGAAGCCTCAGGTTGTTCTGCATTTGAATTGGCTGCAGAGGTTGAAAATTCGAGCCTACGTCAAGAGGTCAGAGGGGAAAGTGGGTTTGTCACAGAGCAAGTAATGGAAGTAGCTGCCAAACCACTAACTAGAGCTGAAACCCTGAGTCACGAAGACAATGGAGAAACTGAGGTCTCCAGGCAAGTTATTGCAGTATCTCCTAATTCCTTCTCACAGACTGAGCCAACTTTAACTGGAGATGCTCGAGGCCTCTTAGGTTCTGAATTGGCCATAGAGACTGATAGTGAGAACTTACATGAAAAAAGCAATGGAGAAACCAAGATCGGTTCAAGGCAAGCCATTGCAGTATCTGATTGTTTGTTCGGTGGCAACGAACGTCTTTCAAGAATCTATACAGAAGATATTCAAAGTCTGAGCTCGAGTTGGCAGCCACTGCCCAAGAGTAAAGTCGGAGCTCTATCTGATATCTGGAGTGAAGTGAGTTCGGCAGAGGATCAGAACAAAAAACCAGGAATGAACAGAGAGACTGAAAAAATATTTGATGAAGGGAGCAGCTCGTGCCTTTCTGAGGATCTAAACCAAATGTTCTTGTTGACACCAAATCAGAAACCCAAAGGAGAATCGTCAATTGGCTTTGAGAGATCTGAAGAATCTTACAGCCTAAGCGAAATGGAGAGCGAGGGAAATACTGATAAGGGTAGTCCAACCTTGGCTGCAGAAACATATGAGGATACAAAACCGGTTAAGGAAGAACTGCCTTCTGATTATAATGGAAGTCAAGAAAACCAGTCCCCTCAAACACAGGCTGTTAGAGATAATGTGCTGTCTGAGATGGATAGCTCAAGGAGCTCCCCAATAAGATTGAGCACATGCAACATATGGTCTAGGAGAGGAAAAGCTACTTCTGTTCTTCAGGTCCGGACCAACAGTAGTAAAGGAAAGCAAAAACAAATTGGGAATCAACCAAAAGGCCAGTTGCATGGAAAACAGGCTCTAAATGACAAGTCTATATCTCTGACTGTTCATCATAGTGCAGAGAAACTGGAGCCAGAGATCTTTACTCCTGACAAAGAAAATCTCACCCCAAGCTCTCATATGTTGAAAAGATTACAAGATGTTGGTGACATTGAAGATAGCAAGAGCTCTTCAAAGCTTCTGGGCAAATCATTCTTGTCAAAGATTGCTATTGTTGCCTCAGGGGCATTGACAGAACCAGAAATCTTTACACCAGATAAGGAGAATCTTACCCCAAACTCTCATATGCTAAAACGTTTGCGAGAAGTTGGTGAAATCAAAGAAACAAAAGGCTCCTCCTCTAAAGCAATACGTAAACCATTCTTTGATATTCATGTGGAAGAAAAAGTGATCGCAGAACAGAAACCAGATCTACACAGCATGAGCAGCACATCAAAGGTGAAGAAGCGTGATGAGCCGGTGGCTACGAAGAAGAAAGCTGAACGGGCACCTTTTCAACCTCTACTTGAAAAATCTTCGTCCCAAAGCCAATCATACATCGAGGATTCTTCTACTGCATCAGCAAGAAACAACATTTCTAGGGGCATGCGTTCTTCTTCTGTAAGTCCTTAGCAATTCTGATTGTCATCGATTCTTTGTTTAGTTCTTATATATTAACCATTACTTCACTGTGTTTCAGAACCTTTCCGATGGAAAGAGCAAGATGAAATGGACCATTGTGTTGGACACTTCTTCACTCCTCGACAAGGAGTCTAGAAAGGCACTGCACTTACTACAAGGTCTCAAGGGGACACATCTGGTCGTACCACGAACAGGTAAAAACCACCTGTCTTTTTCTTTTCTATCATAGACCAGTAATAGTTTCTCTATTCACCTAAATCTCTATAAACAAACCATACAAATCCTTGAAGACAAGGCTGTAAGTAGATACGGCAGACGAATCTATCATATAGATCTTGAAGAATTTCTCTGTGGTAACATAAGTTTATGGATGACTTGTGCCTTAATCACACAAATCTTTAGTTCCTATATCTTTTACCATTAGAAACATGTCTCTCACCTTTGGTTTCATTGTGCAGTGTTAAGGGAACTAAATGAGACGAAGCGCAATCGCAGTATATTCTTTAGAGGAACAACAGAGATTGCTTCCTCAGCTCTGGATTGGATCGAAGAATGTAAGGTTAAAACCAAATGGTGGATTCAACTCCAAAGCCCATTAGACGAAACCAAAGCAATTGCACCAACTCCACCAGTTACTCCTCAGTCAAATGGCTCAGCATTCCCGCTTTCACTTCACTGGAATCACAATGCACCAGAGATCGATTCTCCTACATCAGAAGATCAAGTCCTCGAATGTGCACTACTTTATCGAAGCCGTAACATCGACGAAAAACTCGTTCTTCTTAGTAACGATGTAACTCTCAAGATCAAAGCCATGGCAGAGGTAAAAATCCTAACAATATTACGTTAATTTTTTATTAAAACAAAAGCACTCTCTGTGTAGTTGACTAATATAACGCTTTGGTTTTGGAATTAGGGTGTGATTTGTGAGACGCCAAATGAGTTCTACGAGAGTCTGAAGAATCCTTTCTCGGAGAGGTTTATGTGGACAGAGAGCTTGCCGAGAGGAAGGACTTGGAGTCATCTAGACGACGTCGTGTTGAGAGAAAGGTACAACGAGAACCGAACTTGTTTCCCTTACAGGAAGAAGAAGTCAATGTTCAGTGGAGTAGGAAGAGGAGAGAATGTTGCAGCAGCAAAAGGCTTGAAGCTCATATTGCTTCATAACTCTCACTATGGTCACCACATTCATTGATGGATCCATTATTGTTTCTTTTTTCCAAGTAAGCCATAAAAATTCATCTCGCTTACAACGTGCACTACTTTTTTTTTGTAGAAATAATGAGATTTTCATATTACTATTGACTTTTTTTATTGTTGAATGCATTTGTCTTGAGATCCGTCATTTCCATGAAAATTAGAATATGCTTAAAATAGAGACAACACGATTTAAGAATGTGCTTTGAAATAATCACCCAGTTACTGTTATATTGTGGTAATGACTCTTCAAAATATGAAAAAATACATAATTTGAAGGGGCGTTTTTGAAGTAAATAATAAGATTATAAATTAGTCTATACAGATGTTATCATTTCCTGCACTATGCATATTCCCACCAATGGGTGGCTCCATAATTTGTGGACACGTTGCCGGATTAATGTGATAAGAATTTTTTTTTAAGAAAAAGTCAAGACTTGAACCGGAGATATTATTAGTCCCTATTCCTTTATAAACTTGAAATCAAATGTTTTGAAGTTTGGTGGTTAATCAACTTTGTTTTTTTTTTTTTTGAATTAAAGAGGCATTTCTGGAAATTTTGATTATGCTTATGATCTTCACATTATGAAATTTGGTTATTAAACATTTGGTGTGATAAAACAAAAGGAGTATGGAAGTGGAAGAGGTATTTTTCGTTTATGGAGTTAAGGTTGTTGAATCAATATAAATTTGTTATTTCCACTTTGTCTAAAAAAGGAGTTTTGATGTAATAGAGAGTCATAGACACAACAGTTAAGAGGTTCCCACCACTTTTATTGGGTTGTAATCATTCTTGCCCACTTTGCCCAAACAATTACTCATTAGGAAAAAAAAAACAAAATCCTAATTGGTTTTGAACTCTTCTCCTTTTTTTTTATTGAGAACAATTGTTTTGAACTCTTCTTCTCCTTGTTACCTCTTATATTTAGAAACAAATAGAGTATTTTTTTCTTTTCAAATAGAGTATTTTATATTTTTGATATATTTTTCTTTCTCAACCAAACGTATAATGTGACTTGCATTTTGAAAAGTAATGATAACACGAAATGAGTATATTAGTTTAAATCGGAAAAATATAAATATATATTTATTCCATATTTTCTTTGTGTATTCTTTAATGCAGTTTCCCTGATCTTTTTTATACTTAAAATGAGTTAAAGAGCATTAAGTTTGGGTTGTAAAGTATCGAGAAATGCCAAAGCGAAAATGAAGGGTTAGTTTGGGTTAAGTTTGGGTTAGTTTTGAAAATGGTGAATGTCGTTGATATTAACGTTGACAAATTCACAAATCCTAATTAGCTCATCTCATAGTAACTTCGATTAAGGGATTTAGCTAGGAATCTTGTGTTTCCCAATCAACGGTCCATTATTTTTATCAAAAATAATTAATTTTGTTTTGTTTTGATAACAAACAAAAAAAAGTTCCTTAGTTTTCAATTTTGGCGGTCCAGTGAATGCATGAACGAAACGAACCTTCGTGGCAGGTAGACTCCACTTGGCAGATGTAACTGAACTTTGAGGTTGGTTCCTCGTAATTTAAGTAACTCTCCTTTCCCGATCAACACAAAAAAAAACCCTTTATCCACGTTTTAGGTAGCTTAATTCTTAGTAATTTTCGATACGTTTCCACATTTTTATACAATAGTATCATAATATTTTTTTTTGAGAAAAACTTTAGATAGTTTCTGTGACACCCCGATCCCGCCTTTCCTTTGGAGACCAGACGTAGATCAGCGATATCAATCTTAATTCCCCCAACTGTTTCTCCCAGTGAGCCCAACGCCCTCTCTAGATCCGTGGGCCCAACATCCTCTCTCTAGGTCCGTTGGCCCAACGCCCTCTTTAAATCCGTTGGTCCACCACTATCCGACGGTCGTGAGTCGTTAGTCCGGAAAGCTTGTAAGACTTATCTACTGTTCCGGCAATCACCATATGATCGTTCTCCGTGCTTTGTCCTCACTCGTACGGTACCATAGAGTACTTCCCGGTAGGTCACCCATCCGGAGATCACTCCAGCATCAGCACACTTAACTTTGGAGTTCTCTCAGCACATTTGACCAGAAAAGATAAATGTTATTTATTGACATCGGTAGCCAAATCAATCCTTATAAGACTTTCCATATACCGGAAATCGGGATGTTACAGTTTCGTTTTTGAAAAAAAAAACATTAACAAAAAATTAGTAATAATAATTATAATTGTTGGAGATAAATAACTTTTTTGGAAAACATCAAACAAGTAATAATACCTGTGATAAATCAGTCATTAGCCACTAGAAAATACAAGAAGGTGCAACTAAGTTAAGTGGTCGTATCTTAGGAGTGAAGACATATTACTTTTTCCTGAAATTGTTGGTTTGAAGCTATGTTCAAAACTTTGCTAGCCGTTATTCGAACGGTTAAGATGAACCTAGCGCTTAGAAAGAAAATTAGAAATTAGTTTTAGAGTTTTTTAAATAAAATAATTAAATAAATAATTAGAATAATACAGTTATATTTCTAATATTTTGGTAAGAAGCTATAATTATTCGGTGGACCAGTGATTTAACACTTGACATTTGCTTTGATGTGCCAAATTCGAACCCATATAGCATTTATTTGTCAATTTTCTCATTTATTATAAATAAATGATAAAATAACAATTATCTAATCATCTACTCCCTTTTTTTATAAAAAGTGTAATTTTAAAATTTTTTACACATATTAATAAAATTGTTAAATATTTCATATTACCTTTTGTTAATATATTAAGCAATTTCTCTTTTTCCAATTAATACACTAAAATTAATAGGTTAAAATTAGATTTTTGTCTAGAATTATGTATTGGAAACATAAAATGATAAAAATAAAACTTTAAAACGGCATTTTTTGTGAAACGGAAAGAGGATTTTATTAATACTTCACGAGTTTAGAAACTCATAAAATGACAGCCACTCATTTTTGAGACATCAAAACTCTGTTTTAACACTATTTTTGTTTTCCTGGTTTCAGCATGAATATGAAAAATTTATCATGTAATATCTTAATTCTAACCTTGAAACTCAAAAAAAGAATCATTATATTTTTTTCTCCAATTTTGTTACCAATTTTGCCCAGGTCGTGATGGCAGCCAACCACCGAGCGTTTAATCACTGATTAATCGACTAAGACGGCCACGTTTTCAAACACGGGTTTGAAGTGAGCTAATGGGAAGTAAAGAGATGATGAATGGTCCACTAGAGAGTCTGAGATACTGCTACCCCAATTTTGGAATCGGTTTATCTCTTTCTTTCCGATCCAATTTAATTTCTCTCATAAACCAGAATCCACTTATAAAAATCCCTCTCTATTAATTTTTCTGTAAAATAAACCCAAACTCTTTATTTTTTTTTTCTCCATTCCGACCCCCTCTCTTTTTTTTCTCCTTCTTCATGTCGCAAGCTTCTTCTCCTCTCCTCCTTCTCGCCATGCCACACCTCTTCCTCTCTCCCTCACTGCGATTTCTCCTTCCCTCTTCTCTCCCTCGCCGTGACTTCTCCTTCCCTCTCCTCTTCCTCGCGCCACGGCCCCTTCTCTTCCTTTCCTCTCTTCCTTGGCCGATGCTTCTCCTCCACCTTGGTGTCTCACTCGGTGTCTCCTCTTCCTCGTGCCGCCGCATCACTGCTTCACCTCGCTGCTCGTGCTGCCATGAAGCTCTACCACCGCTAAAGCTTCTTCCTTGCCGACCTTCATCCACGGCGAGCTTCCTCCACCGCGCCGCCACCACTCCTCTCCTCCTCCAATGAAGAGTTCCATGCTCTACTGCACCGCTTTCCTTCTGCTCCTCCTCCGCAAGAGCAAAGGTGAGGGCTCGTTGCTATTCACAGTCTTTCATATATATGTTTTAGTGATGTGATTAGTTTATTCTTAAACCGAAGCTGCTAGTTTTATTGTTAGGTTATGTTGTTGTGTTTCTATGAATTGTTAATGTCTTTGATGAGTTAGATTGTTATAATTGATTGAATGTTGGTGATGGTTGGTGTGGATGTTTAATGTTAGATTCATTAGTTTCTTTGGTCCTGTTTGAGTGTCTTGAACTTAGTTAATATCGTCGGAAGGAATAAACCGGCAGTGCTTGTTTAGTATCGACTTAGGTATCCATCACATGATCAATCCAGGATTGTATTTCCTCTTCTGCAGAGCATTTTGCTCTTATGTGAAATTGTTTGTGATTGTGAAATGATAATTAATCGATTTAGGGTCGAGGATGTTATCGATGAATTTGACAATTGAATTGGAAATAGAATTAAATGAGGAAATAGAATTAAAGATAACAATTTATAAAAAATACTTATATTCATATTATTTTCTTGAGCTTGTTTTAGATTTGAACTTTTTATATCTTAATTCATATTATGTGTTGGAAGTGATAAACGGGTCTCCTAAGACTCGTCCTCATTGAGTAATCCCAATAGTCATCCCTCCTCTTCCCTTTTATCTTTTCAGGTTAGCTTGGATTGTTTCATCTAATGTTGTTGTTACACAGGCGTTTTTGTTCCTGGTATACATGATTCTCACCATGGACCAGACCTGATGGTTAACCAAATGAGGCTAGACCATCAACTTAACACGCCCGATTCCTCGGTTTTTTAGTAAGTTCGGGATAGGGATGTTACAGAGTCGCTTTTTTTTTTAAACCCGAAAATTCGTATTATGTAATATGGAGAATGTGGTTGCAGAAAGATAAATGAATCAGGTATAAAAGAGATATCTTTTCCTGGTCTTGCTAATTCATGACATGTGATGTGAAAAATACGATATGAGAGAGATGAATGATTCTGCAAGGACAAGTTGACTTTATAACAATCAACGTAAATAAAAATAATATGATAACAATATCCATATAAGTAAGTGATAAGATCCTGAAACTCCTTATACGAGTTCATACGTGAATTTTCTTTGATAAATGATAAATATTTAATAAGTGTGGGAGTATATATTTGAATTTCTCTAAATTGCTTCTTATGATAAAGATATTATAGCGATAAATCACTATTTATAGAGAAGATAAAAACATGTACACTTTGCCAAAATCGTGTCATCTCAGTGCCTTTAGAAGTTTTTTGAGAAACAGAATAAAAGCGACAAAGAAGATTGGCGAAAAACACTTGATCAGATTATCTGGTTTGTTTTCTGACCAGTGGTTTTAGTTGGATTTTGTACCTGCAACTGATCTTTTAGGTTTTTGAAAATTTTGAAGAGCTTATCCGTGCTTCATCTTGAATTTAAGAATTTAAATTAGGTAATTTATAGTCTGTTAATTAAATTGTTATTATTTTTATTAAGTTAAGGATTCAAATAATTTTGATTTTTAAAATATATTAAGATTTTGTCCTATATTATTAGCCGGGGAATAACGTCACAAAAATTTTTTTTGGCAAAAAAATATTATTTTTTATTTTTCTGTATTAAATTTTTATTGTCTTATTGGTAGGTGATAAAAACATTTTTTTATTTAATCAATGAGCAATTTTGTTTTAGTTAGTAAGAGGTTTTAGGCCAAAGCCCATAATCTCCGAAATCCAAAATCACAGCATATAATATTAGTTCTGTCGCAAGCATCACTCAATCCTGTAATCTTCTAAGCTTTGTGTAGAATCTTAACCCAGATTTTAGTTTTTAACCAACACTTTGTTAATTTTTTTGATCCGGATTATTTAGCATTTTCTTAATTTTTTTGTGCATTAAATCAAATAGACAAGTCTTAACCGAACATAAGTGGAATTAAGCAGAATACTTGAACTAAAAATGGAGTTTTAGTACAATGATCAGTTCGCATATAAGCTATTACATTGAAACTAGACCTTAACTACCCAGATCTTACCATCTCTTTCTCCACAACCTTAGTCCGTTTGCGCTGATTAAACATCCTTACTACCTGCATCCATAAAAGGAAGCATAAGCAACATAATTTTCTAGTGAGAGCAGTAATCATGTCTCACCAAACCATAACATAATCACATCAAACATTCATCGAGTCAAGTACTCATCAGAACAAAAAACTATCTGCACATGACCATATACGTTTATCCGGCCGATCCTTCCGCAACCAGACAAGCCTCAACGAGCATCACAACCGCGAACGCCTTGCCTGATCTAGATCACCGATAAGGTGGATTGATCATCACGGTAGCCAGCAGAAATGTCATGACAAGCACAAAAACAACACGGAACAGACAAGCATCTAAGCAAGAAACGACTAAACTAGACCACAGTCACGCACTCACCTTAGCTTTTCTTGGACAGATTTGGTAAAGAAAAATTTTCTCGATCGCTCAGACACGTTCCCACAATTGACTAGACCACAGTCACGCACGGGTTAAATCTGTACCACACTCGACAGAATCTCAATCGCTCTTGGCTATGATCGAATTTCTCTCGACTAGACAGAAATTCTTTCAGATAACTTCTCTCTTGGATTTTCTATAACTTTCTTTCAGAGTTATTTGGTCGCACGAAAAGAAATAACGAGCTAGAGGCCTTTCTTAAATAGGCCTTCATCGTTTTTTGCAAAGAAAACCTCTCAGAAACCGTTCCCGTGTCAGTCCATACAATCTCTCCTGTAAATACCGCTCATGCGCGTCTTTTATCCGAGAATAACCGTTCTCGCGTAAACACTCGCTCGGCTAAAACCAATAACCATTTCCAGTTCCACACTTTCTCCTTAGCGCGCTTACCTGATAAATGTTCCCGCATACGCCGGAAGCCGACAAATGCTGTCTAATCCTGACCAACCTTATCCAAATTCGGACCAAGACCCAAAAAACTCGGCTTGTCGGAATATCCAGCTAAATCTCGACCAGCTGATTTTAGCTCGGATAAAACTTTTTTTTGGCTCGTTGAATGTTGGACTTGAGCGCGTGGCTGATATGCCCTAACTCGCAAAAAAAAAATCTCACCTGCCATAACATAATCTAATGCCATAAGTAAAAGTGTAATGACGTTTATAACCTTAATAAATTGAATATTAAATTTTAAAGAATGAAATTGAGTTTTTTGTTTTTTTTTTTAAAAAGTTGTGGCTTTCTTCTTCCCCTAGCTCGTTTCCGTACACCTCCGGCGAAGAGAGCTTGATTCGAACCACCGTCATTTGCTGGCGCCGGCTCATTTTTGGTTGTTTAACTACTCTTTCTGATCCGGCCATTTGTGTGAGAAGACTTCGAATAGGTATGGTGGTGTGTATTTTGGGGATTTATAAATTAGGGGTTTTCTTTGTTTGTTTGGTGGTTGTTTAACTATGTACATTGCCTAAGTTTGTTGCTTATTAGTTAAGTTCTCTTCGAATCGATGTTAATTTGTCGATTTTTAGTGTTGAATCTGTTTGGTAGATGTGAAACGAGGATGTGGAACCAAAGGATTTAGGCAAGAAAGTTTGGGAATTTAGATAACTGGTACAAAAAGTATAAGTGAAAGATAGGGGACAAGTAGTACAAGTAGTACAAATGGTGGAACTGATAATTATGGGACAACTAGTACAAGTCTCCGGCTTATGGGACAACTAGTACAAGTCTCGGACTTATCATATTATGGGACAACTAGTACAAGTCTCTGTTAAAACTGATAATGTGGGACAACTGGTACAAATGTTATAGTGAGAAATTCGGGACAACTAGTATAAAAGGTATAATTGTGAGAAACATAATTGGTAATATGATTTTTTTTTTGCTGCGTACCAGGATATAATGAGCATTGGCCACACCAACATACATTTTGAGTATGGAGGATATTATTCACGGAACGAGGAGGAGTTTAAATGGATTTCAGTAAAACCTATATATGCAATATCATTTAAAAGATTATCTTTGGATGGGATTACTTATTCAGCTCTTGTAGAGAAGATATGCCAGAAGATTGCACTAAGCTCCAATACGACGAATCTGAAATTGAGCTACATTCCTTTGGTAGCTAAGCCTCAAATGGAGTCATGTATTTTCGGTGATGATGATGTATATGCTTATCTGACGACATTTGATAAAGATGGTCTGAGATCTGTTTTGAATGTGGAGGTTATCGAAGAGGTGGATACAGACAAAAGAGATCAGCTATGTGAGGATGATGTAGCTAATGGGGATAATGTAGCGAATGGTGGTGTTATGGTTCTTTTCAGGGCTGAGGAAAGAGGAAATCAAGAGAACATGCCTACTAATGAGCGTACTAATGAGCCTGATAGTGAGAAGCAGATGGAGAATGAAGATGGCTTGGAAACCGGTTTTGATGAGAATGAGCATGTTGAACTTCCACCGGAAGAAGAACAAACTCAATTTGTTCTAGAATGGGATGATGGTGCAGGTTTTGAAAAAGGTCAACAGTTCTGTTCGAAGGAGGCATTGAGAGTAATGGTTGATAAAGCTGCACATAAAGGGTGTTTTGGGGTAAAAACCGAGAAGTCTGACCAGGGTCGAGTGATACTGAAATGCCAACAAGCTGATCGTGGGTGTCCATGGTATTTACATGCTGCCAGAATTAAGGAATCCACATATTTCAGTGTCAGAGTATATAGGAGTGTTCATACCTGCTCCAGGGTTGTCGCGAGTACAAGTCGGAAGAGAAGAAAAGGTACTCCACAAGTAGTTGCATCCGTCTTGCGTGATGCATATCCAGGTCAGATTGACACCTCCGCGCCCAAAAGTATTATCAATGTTGTTCAGGTAGAAGCTGGAATAAATGTGTCTTACTCTACTGCATTGAGAGGCAAAAAGCTAGCTGTTAGTGAAGTGAGAGGGAGTCCTGTAGAAAGTTTTAGGAAATTGCGTTCTTATCTATACGTGTTAGAGAGGGTAAATCCTGGTACAGTTACATGCGTGAAGGTGGATGCTGAAAATAAGTTCAAATATCTATTCATTGCTTTGGGTGCTTGTATAGAAGGTTTTAGAGCAATGAGAAAAGTCATAGTCATGGATGCAACATTTCTGAAAAATATATATGGTGGTATGCTTGTATTTGCTACAGCTCAAGACCCTAATCATCATCATTACCCCATTGCAATGGGTGTAATTGATAGGGAGAAAGATGGAAGTTGGAATTGGTTTTTAGAAACACTGAAAACTGTCATACCAGATGATGAAGAGCTGGTTTTTATGAGCGATAGGCATAGGAGCATTTTGAAGGCAGTTCATGAGGTGTATCCTAAGTCTCAGCACGGACATTGCATGTGACATTTGTCGCAGAACGTGAGAGGTAAAGCTGCTGTTGGTTTTAAAGATATTTGTGCTGCGAGATTTAGAGATTGTGCTCATATGTATACCGAGTATGACTTCATCAGCGCATACACCGATTTTGGGAGGAGGTTTCCTAAAGCCGCCGAGTATCTTGCTGCTGTTCCTGTGGAAAAATGGGCTAGGTGTTATTTTAAAGGAGACAAGTACAATTTGGACACCAGTAATGCTTGTGAGTCGATGAATAGTGTATTCAAGAGGGCAAGGAAGTACTCTCTACTGCCTTTGATTGATGCATATGTTGAAAAATTATCTGAGTGGTTCAATAAGCATAGAAAAGACACTGTTTCTGCAACAAGCTTAGGAAAACAGTTGGTGCCGTATGTGGAAAATGAATTACATACACGTTGTGCAGTTGCAACTCACCTACTAGTAACTGAGCTGAACGGCAGTGAACTTGAATACAGTGTCACTGGAGTTGATGGGAAGAGATATCAGGTTGATTTGTTAAGGAGAAATTGTAGTTGCAGATGTTTTGATATTGACAAGATTCCTTGCGTGCATGCTATAGCAGCGACGATGGCCCTAATGCGCCAAGAAGGAAGATCTGTGGATATAGAACTCTCTGA